CTCTTGGGGGGGGGAGGGAATTGGCTGACGGTCCGTCTCTTCTCGTTTGCTTTCTTCCCTCGCCGTCTCGTCGGGCTGTTCAAAAGACGGCCCGTGTGACACAAGTTCCGCCCAAAATCAGGGTCAGGTGCAGGGCTAACTGTTTCGTACAAACATACATGATCGTTCCTGATTTTCGTTCTTCTTGAAAAAATCTGAGAGGTTCCCGAGCATAAGCTGTAATGTTCTTGCCCATGTGTATACCCACCGTACACAAGCATTACCTTGCATGCCCTTTGGAGTTGCTTCGGGGTCTTCAAGCCAGGTCGATGATACTGGAACCGTCAGATAGGAGAATTCGCTGTATCTTCAGATCTTGAGGCGTATTGTCATCCGTTCAATTACGTTTCCACTTATCAGCCACATGCACATGCAGCAGGTAGGTGTGTATGCGGACAAGAATCCACACACGCGGTACAAGCAGTCTAGTATCCAACACACCCTGTTGGACATACAGCTGTACCACGCAGGCGTCCGCGTCAGGTGGGGCTTACGGATGTTAGCAGGTACTTCTACTGAGCAGAGACCGGAGCGGTTGCAACAACAGCAACACCCTGTGGACGGCAACGCTGGACTACAAGCACGTATAATAGTTGACACGACATATTCTATCCTCCTCCTATCGTTTTCCTCCAAGGTTTACGTACATCATCCAGCCTACAGATGGACCCCGCTATATCTAACAACCGGGCCCAAAAGCGGTAGTCTATGCACATTTAAATTCGTACAAATGAGTAACCAACTTCTTGTAGCGTGTACTGTATGCGTAGACTACGCATAGCTAATAGTATAAGTGCGGTACAATCGTTGAGAATAAAGTTCTTATGCAAAACGGGCGCTTCAGAATTCTGTAGACTAGACTAGACTACACCACACACTCCATTTCGGCGGTATACCTGGCAGTGGTATGCTTAGTCTACGCATGGATGGGGAGCGGGAGCCTATGTGCACTTGCGCACCGACCCGCTGCGCGTATCCGCTCGCTGGCTGTCCGCAGCAAACTCTAATATGCCTACCTTTACGGTAAGCGTGTGCCATGTGCATAGGAGGAAGATTCCCACTTGCGGTACAGCAGTGGGGGCCCCGGTTTAGCGACCCCGTACAGCAGTGTCACATCGAAATGTGGCCGCTGTTCAGGCCAAGTCGGTAAACCGAAAATGTAACAACTATGTAAGCAGCTATACTACCGGGGTGCGGCAGTGCCTCGTGATTGTGTGCTCACGAAACAGGGCATGTCGCAAAACAGGGGGTATTCCCCCACTGAATGTAGAGACTACAGGATGGTCCATGGAGTCGGAGGCGCACTGCTTGTGGTACTAGACTAATAGGTACTTCCGTACTTCCCGTGTGTCGTGCGGAATGCAAAACTCTTGGATCATGCACGCATACATCTACTCCACGGTTGGGTCCATGTGTTGTTTGTCGTCTGTTGTAGCTCTATAGTCCACAACAAATGGGGAGCCCGTGGTCTCAAAACCCGGCACGTACGACGCCGCGGAAAAAAAAAACAAAATGGGGTACAAACCGCTCGGAAAAAGAAAAAAAAATGATTGAAAGAAAAGAAAGGGTACCGCACCGACCGTTCGAGAGCCCTCGGAACCGATCAAAATAAAACAAAAATCTTAGACTTCCTTCAGATAGAGATGGATTTGTTGTGTGATGTCAAGAAAAAGAAAACAAAAAAAAGGAGGACACTTCTCACACCCGCCTGGAGAATAAATCAAAGGGTAACGTACCAGCACCAGGCACTACGCACCAGGGCATGGGAGGAACGGAGCAAACAGGACAAAGAGGGGGCAGATGTGCAGACAGCCAGATGTACAAAAAACAAAAGCAACAGCAAAAGCGAGTCCAAGGTACCCAACACAGCAGAGTAGGCAGGGAGGACATGAAAAAAAGAAACACAGCAGCACAGAGGCCGAAGGCAATACAAAGGACATACATAAAGGAGGATAGCATACAGCAGGGAGGGAGACAGGGCGCAACAACATCAGCCGGGTACATTGGTCGCCACAAGTGCTGCCTGGGCCGCCCTACTCGCTTCTACAGCAGTGCCCGGTCGCCGTTTCTTCCCCCCCACCGCCGCTTCCCCGACTCTTTTTCTCTTCGGTCCTGAGATGGCCGTACTCTCTGCTTCTGCTTCCCTCGCGCGCTGGCGCTTCGCGGACGCTTCCGCCTCCTGCCTGTGCCATTTCATCATGAGCCATGCCGCCCCGTCCTCGACCTTGTTGTACCACACCTCCGGGTCCTTGGCGCTCTCTTTCCAATTACCCCCTTCCGTTTCGGCGCCCATGTTGAAGGCCACGAGGTCTTCTCCTAGACAGACGAGACACCCAGTCGCTCTCCTGCCCGCCCCGGTTTCCCGCGCCTATGTCCTCCACAAAACTAATTCAATAGCATGATTAATAGACGCTAAGAGACACGTCGTTTGTTGGGTCCGTCCGCCCGTTCATCTGTCGTTGAAGTGTTTCAATATGAAAACGCCAGGTCTTCGATCGGCTGGAGCTCCCCACCTTTGAGGCCTCGCACTGGATGCAAGCAAGACAAATTCATACTTACCCATGCCAACTTATCAGGGGCGTAGAGTAAATTATCCTTCGAGCGATGGTGCATCCGTTTGTGTAGATAAATCTAGGTCGTAGTTCCCGATATTACGACGAACTCGCAAGCCATGCACCTTCCGATTTGCACGCAAAGATTTGTTATAGTCTATGAGCAATCAGCCACCACGCTCGAACAGGTGCCATGGACACTGGGCGGTGAATATTCTTTACGGTGGGATTGGCTCTCAACAAACAGTGGCTATGACAAATACTTCTCTCGCGAACAAGCATAAGTACGACCTCTACCCGTCCATTCATACTTGCAGTTCTTCTATCAGGTGGTGCACTTCAGAACCAACTTCAGGTTCGTCTTTCTAGGACTCAAGGGTAAAAAAAGCAAGTTGAGAAGACCACGACCGCACGCCCTACGAAGACAAATCAAGCGGGCCGGACGCCAACACTCTAACCGCTGAGACATGCAAAAGCTGGGTACCTTATACGACACAAGAACACACACCCCTGGACCGATTTTCAAAGCTCCATTACTGCACGATGAAGAGGATGCACACACGCAACGACATGATGCCGGAGAGCTATAGACAGGACGACTGAACGCGCCATTGTCGGCGGTGCCAGTCATTCTGTTGTGTAGAAATCGAGCTTTGAAAACAGCTTCAGGGGGTGTGGTATCTTGTGTGTCACGTACGGTACGCGTGGCCAATGGCCCGACAACTAAGGCACGCAAAACATGAGCACGCTCGCTCCCCTTCCGCTCCTTCCGCCGCCGCCACTTCTGCCGCTCGCTGTCGTTATATCGTTCTGTCACGCCGGCCTCTAGAAACCGGCGTGCGTCTGCTACGCCCTGTTCATCGACACTGACCGGTGGGTGCCTCGACCAGCCTGTGCGGCAGCAGGAGTTCGCTTGGCCTCTTGGAGGTGCTTGAGGAATCTGTTGGTCGGCCAAAAGAAAAAAATGTTTGGAGGTGGGCAGCTTATGTCAGAAGCGTAAGAGGAGAGAAGGTTGGCTCAAGACCTTGGTATCACTATTGACGAGTGCGCCGGGCATGCTATCCCATGCACAGCAGAATGGGGACCGCCCCTCCACCAATACATGCCACCGATGATACACGAACCCCCCTAGATCTCCGATATCAGTATCGAGTGCTGAGTACCCCCAAACAAAGAAGACGAGGATCGACCTTGAAAAGGAAAACATAAGTAACGGAAAGCAGCAACAACCTGCACCTGTGGCAGGACTACATTGATACTTCACGCCGCTTTGAGGTGACTATAGTAGAGTGGTACAAATCACATTTCGTGATAGCAGATGAGAGCAGAGGGTGATCTGGGACCAGAGTGTCGGCGGGAAAGTAGACGTGCCGGTCGAGGGACGCAGAGCTGATACATCCTTCCTCGAACTTGGACCCAAAAAATGATTGTTGTGATTGTCCATGAAACGTCATGTCTACAGGTACGTGCACGCTTCTCATAACAAAAAAAGGAGTTCGTCGATCGTGGACACCAAACCTCGAGGAGTAAAGATCCGGATCGACAATGAATTTGGTGGAGTGGAGCACTCGAGGTTGTTTTGTTTGGTGGCCTGACTCAAAGAAGGCCCCACGCTACATGAACGAATGAGCCACTCGTCCTTAGTCATAACGATGTTTGCAGCTGGGCCCGATCGAGTCCCCTCTCCTGGATAGCAATTGCTCTCCTCGATCTCGTCGATCGCATCGACAATACCGCATACGACACAAGGTAACACACCCCCTGGACCGATTTTCGAAGCTCGATTACTCCACGACGAAGAGGATGCATAAATGAAACAACACATTTTTGAAAAGCTCTCGACGGACGGCTTCAACGCCGCCGTTTTGGGCGCTGTGAATCTTTGTGCTGATGAGAAATCGAGCGTTGAAAATAAGTCCGGGGTGTGTGTTTTCATGTGTCGTGTTCGGTCGAAGACCGCGCCTTGCGTGAGAAACAAGCCAAGCACCCTCAACACCGCCAAATTTTTCTGAACATAATAGAAACGAGCACAAATCTCCCCAAAAAACACGACTGAAACATTCTTTTGAGCGGGGTTGAGAATCAAGCAAGTAAGTACCTCTCGTGCGCCTTCGCAATGTCTGCGGAGCCCAGCCCAGGCTCCTTGACGAGGTAACCCGCGTCTGCCATGCGCTTGTACATGCGTCCAATCTGCGAGAGGGGCACGATGAAATGAAGCGGGGCGGGGCGTGGAACGCAACCCCATTTGATGAATCTAATTCTGTAATCTCGGGGTTGGAGGACCGCCCCGTCCTCTATCCAGTGGTTCCTTTGCTGTATCTTTCTAGGAATAGAGGTTTCAAGTTGGCGATTTGAAAACTTGTGTTCGTGAAAGAAGGAAAATTAGACATCGATGACAAGGAAGCTTGTCCCATCGCTTAGAACACAGAAGCACTACACCGAGCGTGGTATCTCCACTGCTGCTACGCCTTGGTGTCCGGCTCCGAGCGACGCCGTTATTTCCTACGTTTGTTTCGGTTTCTCCTTCGCGTGGCAACTCCATTCAACAATTTTCAAGCTGGATACGAGATCTCAGGCGGTGCTTCCACAGGTCTCTCCGCTGGGTACTCTATGATAGCTTGCGTGAGAGTTTGAGGTAGCCTGCATCTGTAGCTTGCTGAATCAGCACGAACAAGGAGGGATGCCGGGCAGTTGAATATGCAGAAATCACGAGCTCTTGCAGTTTAGACACAACACAATGTTCACCACAATGACCGCCAACGCTACCAGTCACGGCAACACAGGCGCCTTTCAGGTAGCCTACAATTGTGGGTTGCGGAGGGCAAATGCACAGAAATCACGACCTCTTCCAGTGCAGGCGAAAGAATACCATCACCATCAACGCAGCAATCAAAAGCAGTAGGATCTAACGAATACTTCATGAATAGCAACTTCAAATAATATTCTTCAGGACATAAAATTCTTGATTTCTGGACACAAAAATACTACTAGTATTTGTTTTGGGTTTGAACCATTGAAGAACTTAAAACTCCACCATTCAGGTTCTAATACTTACTTCGAGAACCCTATCGGGGACGGGCTTGCCGCCCACAAGGAATTTGTCGAGAAGTTTCTCTCGCACGGCCCAGTTCGGCACGTTGCCCTTAATCCCGATGTCGCAGTACCATAGCCGTACCACCAGAGGTCTGCTTTCGTCCTTCGCGCCAAACAGACGAGTGTTCGAACGGGGTGCCGGGGGAGTTGGACATTGGGTGATCCAATGCGGATGAGTGGGGAGGGGATGGGCGATCGGCATGCGTTGGTGGCAAAAAATTGGCGGATGCGAGGCAGAAAAAGAACAGGCTTGGGGGATGGGGTACTCAACCTAACTTGTTTTCATTGCTAGCGTCGGTGTGATCGTGCGTGGTTTGGAATGAGCGACCCATTTCATCTTAGGCAAGATGCATGTATTGCTTCCACTGCTGTGTTAGGCGTGACGGCTCGTACAGCTACGCTCCTTTTTTTTTTTCTCTCCCCTGACAAGAGCGAGGTCAATGGTCTAACGACTACGGCATGCACGACTATTAGTATGAGTACACCCCCCC